AACCTCTGTACCAGCAAACACACAGGCAGGCCCACCAGATCCAGTCTCACATGGGACGCTGGGTGACGGCAGACAAGCAGTCTGTGCACTTAGTAGAAAACGAAATCTAAGCAAGCATACCAGATATTCAGCCAGCAAGAACGCCTGGAGATTTTGTCCAGCAAGGAGCTGCCCAACAAAAGACAGAATACCAAACTTCGTGTTGACCAGTTAAAGTATGATGTCCAACATCTGCAGACTGCTCTCAGAAACTTCCAACATCGGTGATACGCAAGGGAGCAGCAGGAAAGATAGTGAGAGGAGCTTCTGTCTTGCACCTTCACCCCCAATGTGGGATGTGGCACCCCCTGCGAGGCTGTGCTGGCCCCTGTGAGGCTGAGACGGCACCTGGGAGACTGAGACGGCACCTGGGAGACTGAGACGCCCCCTGTGAGACTGAGACGGTCCCCGTGAGGCTGAGACGGTCCCTGTGTGGCCAAACACAGGGACACATCGTGGATGGAAATAGCTACATTTTCCAGGTGTATGGCCCGGCAACAAAAAGCGTACACCTATGGATGAGGACAGTTGGGGGGGGGGGTAAGGGCAGAGGGTGGGGTGGGAACTGGGTGGAGGGGAGCAATGGGGGGAAAAAGGGGAACAACTGGAATAATCTGAACAATAAGGATTTATTTTAAAAAAGAAGAATGTAGGAAGGGAGGAGAGGATAGAGAGGGAGAGAGAGAAAGGGAAACATCAAAGTGAGAGAGACACATTGACTGGTTGCCTCCTGCACATGCCCCATCTGGGGCTGGGGATGGAACCTGCAACCCACAACAGCAGCTCTTCTACTGTAGTCACAGCTGGTCCTCACAGGCAATTAGCCTGAAGGTCAATTCCTCTCAGTAATACAGATAGCAATCAAGGCTCAAGTACAAGTCTGGGCACACAGCCCACACAAGGGCATACGTAGAGTGCCCCATTCAGGTAACTGGGGAGGCTGAGCCACTGGGCCCTACAGGACATCTATTACACAAGGCCACTCTACCAATTCCAGGAGACATAGCAGCTCTATCTAATACATGGAAACAAACACAGGGAAGCAGCCAAAATGTGGAGATAAAGAAACATGTCACAAATGAAAGGACAGAAGAAATCTCCAGAAAAAGAACGAAATGAAATGGAAGCAAACAAACTACTTGATACAGAGTTCAAAACCATGGTTATAAGTCTGCTGAAGGATCTTAATGAGAGCTTCAAGGGACTTAGTGAGAATTTCAAAGATTTCAGTGAGACTTTCAAGGATTTCAGTGAGAATGTCAAGAAAAAGAATCAGTCAGAAATTAAGTATACACTAATTGAAATAAAGAATAATTTACAGAGATTCAACAGTAGAATAGAGGATTCTGAGAATAAATCAATGATTTGGAATATTAGGAAGGAAAAAAAACCACCCAATCAGAGAGCAAAAAGAAAAAAGAATCCAAAAATATGAAGACAGTGTAAGGAGCCTCTGGGACAACTTCAAGTGTACCAACATCCTCATTATTGGGGTGCCCTAAGGAGAAGAGAGAGAGCAAGATATTGAAAACCTCTTTTAAGAAATAATGACAGAAAACTTCCCATACCTGGTGAAAGAAAGAGACTTACAAATCCAGGAAGCACAGAGAGTCCTAAACACGATGAACCCAAAGAGGCCCACACCAAGGCACATCATAATTAAAATGCCAAGGGTTAAAGACAAAGAGAGAATCTTAAAAGCAGCAAGAGAAAAGCAGTTACTTACCTACAAGGGAATGCCCATCTGACTGTCAGCTCATTTCTCAACAGAAACTATGCAGGCCAGAAGGGA